CGCTCTTCCTGAAGCTTCTTCTCAGCTTCCAGAACTTTATCACTGGTTTCCTCCACCCTGATACACAAAAAACGAACAAACAAACAAAAAAACAGTAGTTCAGCCTCTTCATGTCATGACTGTGAGGAGCCCAGTACGAATCAGGCTTAGTACTGAGTTCTGCTTCTTGCTGCACAGTTCTCCAAAGAGGGAACAGAAGAATTTTCCCTGTATCCAAAGGCAGAAATCCCAGTGCAATCCTTCCAGAGGACATCCTCCAAATTTGGATGCAAAACAGAATTAACTAATGAGTACAGTTATAAATAATTGGTCCATTAATGGAGGTTGCTTAGATCCCTTAGCACTGGCTGCTTGGGTAAATCTCCCACTCATGAGAAGCTGCAAATAGTTGAGGGGAGATCATTAATTAGAGGAATAATAAATTGCATTTTTTAAACACATTGGGGAAATCTAGACGGGAAGTAGTTTATAAAAACACTATTTAGCATTTAGCTGTTCTGCATCGCTTATCTGAAAGCACAAAAAGAAGCTGAATATTGTTTTTAACAAACCTGGCCAACAGAAACTACGATGGAGGAAGCTGAGTGGAAGAGAAAATAATGAGCAACCCTGGAATTTCATAGGGAAGAGCAAACTTCTCTGCTTACTCCACATAACAGCTTTGACAATTAACTACAAAAATTCGCTGTGCACCCACAAATGTAGCCAACAGTGCATCTTGTTTGGGGTAGTGCCCAATACCAAATGATTTAAAGGAATTTAAAGTTAGAGAGAATCCTGAACTGACTCCTGTATCCAATCAATCCTGAACTGACTCACTGTCTTTGAAATAAAAGATTTTTCTTCTTGACCCCAAGGGTGATAGCTGCTTCCTCCCTGAATCAAGAGATTTGATTAGTCTTGTTTCCCTCCTAGCTAACATAAGTGAAAAATAATTCAATTATAATAAAGTTACACCACTGTCTTTCAAATCTAGCTACAGGCAAGACGCTGGCACCCTGTGCAGTGAGTTGCCAGGCTGGTGACGTGCTATGTGAACACTTATTTCTCTTCAGTGGTTCTGAATTCACTGAACTTGCATTTGAGCAGGTGGTCCCCTACCATCCACATTAGGATAACTGGGCATTTCTTATGAAAGAACTGGTCATTTCTTATGAAAACTTCTGTCAATACGAGTGACTTCCACTGGAATATTCCTCTGGCTTCTTCCCTTTTCCCCAGGGAACTGATCCTACAAACCACCTGCTATGGTGTATTCTTCTGAAAGGCTTCTGCTCTGCAGGAACTGATTGCAAAAAGCAAATCCTAAATTCTGGCAGCTGTTACAGGCTCTTGCTGTAGAGGAATCCATACAGCCACTTCCAGTGAACTTCCCTGGACTTAAACATCATATATATCCCTTGAGTTTTGGTTGCCCTATGCTCCAACAGAGAAAGAAAGGGGAGAAAGGCCTGACTTTTTAACACATATTTGTGTTGAGATATGACTGGGTAGTATATTATCCTGAGGTATTCCAAGAATTATTGAACACAGCCTCACAAAACTTACTTTACTCGAAGGAGCTCTTGATAAATGGTAATGATGGTGTTGCTGAATCATCAGTTTATGGTACATTTTATCCTTAACCGTACATTTCACTGACTCTGTGTTCTTCATTATCCCACATTCACTATGGCCCAATTCAGCAGTCACTCACATCTCTGTCCTTACCTAATTGCATAGCTCTATTAAAGGCACATGGAGTTACATGAATAGAATTTCCCACTGTGTATTTCCATGATTTAGCCCTTAAAAGCAACAGGGGACAATACCTTTCCAAGGATTATAAAGAAATTTATTTCTCTGACTGTGATCAGTTGTATAGAACAAAAGACAGACAAATGAGAAACAGCAACTGACATAAAGTAAAGCAAGTTGGATGTATTGACTTCAAAAGCATAGCGACAAAAAGCATCTTCCTAGAAGCTCGAATACATATTTAGGAATCAAATAATGCAGATTCTGTAACTGGGAAAAAAAAATCAGTAGCTAAAAGGGGTCTAAAGAGAGAAGACTTTGCTTACTTTGTCCTCCTTAAACATAGCTGGGTTTTAACATTGTATTAAATTTAATTGAATAATGGAAAAAAAAAATCACTGCTCTTCATCAGTTAAATGAGAAGAAATTAATTGAAACAAAAAAAGGGATACAATGAAACTTATAAGAATGCGAAAAGCTTCTGTAACAGAAGTCAGACTATAAGGAGAATTACAGAATTTACTACTGATGAGTAATGTTGCTGCCTAAATAATACCACATGTACATAAATACACCACTTGTAGATGCACAGAGGTGTGGCAGGCTTGCAGATGACTCCATTTTTTGCCCTTTGTTCTAGAAGGATAAAAAAAATCATAGAATCATAGAATGCTGAAGATTGGAAGGGACCTCTAGAGGTCATCTAGTCCAACCCCTGCACACGCAGGGTCACCTAGAGCACGTGGCACAGGACTGCGTCCAAGTGGGTTTGGAAGATCTCCAGAGAAGGAGACTCCACAACCTCTCTGGGCAGCCTGTTCCAGTGCTCTGGCACCCTCACTGGCAAGAAATTTTTCCTTAAGTTCCTGTGGAACTTTTGGTGTTTCAGTTTGTGGCCATTACCTCTAGTTCTGTCGGTGGCCACCAGTGAGAAGCGGCCAGCACCATTCTCCTCACTGCCTCCCTTGAGGTACTTCTAGACACTGATCAGGTCCCCTCTCAGCCTTCTCTTCTCCAGGCTGAACAGGCCCAGCTCCCTCAGCCTCTCCTCATCGGGCAATCAACTCAGTGAAACTGAGCAGAATTTTTGTAAAGCCCCTATTTAAAGGAGTCCCAAACGGCAGCGCAGGGCGCGCGGTGTCACACGTGTGTCTGCCCAGCAGCTCCTTAATTCCAGCATCCCGCCAGGGATGTGGGACCGACCTTTTGTGCAGCACGGAGACCAGCCCCAGCAGCCTGTCCCGCTCCACCTGGGCGGCCTGGCGGAGCGCCCGCTGCTCCGTGAGCTGCTCCGTGAGCTGCGCGTGCAGCGCCTTTCCCTCCGGGCTGCCCGTCCCAGCGAGCCTAGAGGAGCAAAGCAAAAGGAAAATGTGTCTCGTGCCACAGCGGAGGGAGAGGAAACAAAGGGAGGTTTGAGAAACGGAGCAAAATGTGCTTGTCTCAAGGCCCGGTGAGGCTGCAGAGCCAAGCTCACTGCCTGCCCCCAGCACCAGCCCCTCATACTGCGCTATGTGGGGAACACAGAGGAGGAAATGAAGCAAAAGGAAGGGCCTTTCCCTTGCAGCTCTGCACCTCCTTCCCACCACCCCTGAAAAGCACCTTTCACCGCGGGTCAGTTCACAAATGCTGACTCTGCTTCTGCTGCTGCTGCCAAAGCCAGAGGCGCCGGCATGTGCGTTCTCCAAAGTGCTGCACTAAGCTATTCAGTAGCAGGATATTGATTTTCCCTAACTAAAAGGCTTCGGGCAGCATCAGTACGATGATCATTCTCTTATCTAACAAGGTGATGAACAAAATGGGGCAGTTCTTCCGTGTATCCCATCACTGCGGACTTTGTTCATTCCTCCCCCTATCTCTCTGCACAGGAATATTCAGGAATAGCTCCTTCGGGGCAAACATAAAAACACACAGAAATATGGAGGGGCAGGAGTGAGAAAGGAGAAACAGGAGTTATGAGGGCATAAAAATAGTAATAAACTGAAGCAATTAAGAGAGCAAAAAGGCAATAGAGCCCGTGTCTACACCCATTGGCACTATCAGATAGGAAAGATGGGGAAGGAACCTGTCAGGGATAGGAGCAAGGCAGGGCTAAGGGCTGCCAGCAGCGTGCAGAGCCTGGCAGGAGATATTTCATGTTTATGAGGGACGTTATATCCATACCTTCCAGGTGTGGTGTGATTACAGCACAGGGAAGGCTTGGTAGCTGGCGACTCCACAAGGGTATGGCCCATCTTGGACACGGTGCTAGGAGGAAAAGAGCTTTGTTAGGCACTGGGCTCTGCACAGGGCAGCTCTCCAGGAGCTCCTGTGATTTTCCAGCATTTGTGTTTATTGCTGCTTGACAGCAGACAGACTCTTAGTGCCACCTAAATACCTATCACATGCACAACAGCTTAGCTTGCTCTCGGACTCCAAAACGTGCTGCAAAAGCACCTTGTGTCTCCAGCAGAGTCTGCCCGATCGATGTTTGATCTTTGCGCTTCCAGGGACGTTTTTCCGGCCCTCGAGAGCAGCATCCTGGAGCTCCAGGTGTTAAGACATGGCTGGAAGAGCAGCCACGAAGTGACTCGTGAGCAGGGGCAGCTCTTGATGCTGCTTCGTTCAAGCTGCTCACGCAAAGAGCCACCCCACCAGACACTGCTGCTCCCTTTGCCCATCCCTTTCCCCATCCCTTTCCCCATCCGTCCTAGATGCTGGATATGACACTACAAGCCCACAGCGACCAGCACAACTCCCTGTGCTGCTGTGAGGGAGGCTGCACGGTGCAAGTTTTCACACCAGCTGCAGCCAGGCAGGGATTTTTGATTCCAAACGCCTCTTAAAATACACTTTATCTAATATATTCATCCAGATATTTGCATTTTGTTTAATTCTTTTACTGTGTGAAGACCCTCAGGAAGATTTGTCAGGCATTTACTATGGAAAGAGAGCTCAGCTGATAACACCAGTGTTTCTTCAAGTCTGGATGAGTTTTATGCCTAGTGATACATATGCCTGGGACATAAAATCCTGGTCTTTGATTTCAGAACTTGAACTCAGTTGCCTAAAGGCAAGTCCCTGTAGATTAAGCCCAAGTTTCTTTGTCTCAAAGCTGCAGCCAACAGGGGATATAAACCTTAATATTACAGAACAGGCATAGCTGCCTTCTGGTCAATCCATCCCAAACCCAAGTTGAGGCTGGTAATGACAAAAGTGGCCCAATCTAAAAATGCAGATTTTCATTTTGACATCTCCAAGGCGGGGTTTGCTCCTATTTATAGCATATTCCATTTAATTTTTCCCAAAAGGAAAAGATGATTCACTAAAGTAGAACGAGATAGAGGGTTCATCAGCATATTAAAGTTAATGCAGCCAGCTCTGCTGACCAAATTATTAATGGCTCTGGCAATGCTCGGACTCATTCATTTGCCCATCTGAAACACCAGCTATTTCCATGACAGAGCCATGTGCTCCAGCAGTAATTTCTGCATTGCAACTTCTACAAAGCCACTTCCCAGCCCAGATTTTCTCCATGCCCTCTTACCTACCAGCAGCAGAAATCTGAAGTTATCAGGAACAGTAAAATGGGATAAAATACAGATTTTGCCCCTGTCACACAGCTTCTGAACAGTGTGAAGCCCACACAGGGCACTATGTTCACAACAGCCACTGCCAATTACCTTTCCACTATTACAGCAAAACCCTTCCATAGACACTAAGATCATCCCTAGCATACCCCATGAAAACAAAATTATTAGCAGCTTGTACAAATCAGATCTGCAGGCTGGAAATAAAACAGGAATGTGCATTTTCAAGGGCAGAAAACACTTGGAATATATATATTTTTAATTTTATAGTAATGTTCTTAGGAATATACCTGCCATTTTCCAGGCCAAGCTCCATGTTGAAAGTGAACTGGTAAGGGAGTTTTTAAAAGGTTGTGTAAGAGAAATTAGTTGCAATTTGATCTTTGTGAAAATTCTCTCTTTCCTCCTAACATGAGTCTCAAGACCACATCCTCGTTTAGAGGATGAACATTTTAGCAATGAAAAGAGCATTTTTTTCTTCTAGGAAGAGATATAATTTCCACTGGTGTCTCTGGTCCCTTTACACAGAGAGAGTGTCCCACAGTAGCATGATTTTAAACAAAAATCAGAGCTATGAACGTTTTTAAGATTAATGTAAATTAATAGTCCTTAGTGAGGCTTGAAAAAGTGTATGCATGAAGAACAACTAACGTGGCCATTAACCCAACAATATTTCTGCACGGAAATCCCACTCGAAACATCTTTATTGATTTAAATAATGCACCAGTGATTTAGTGCTTACCTCAAACAGTTTTGCATTAACTTTCCACTCTGCTTTCAGAAGCTTGCTCATTAGAAGCCCTGTTTCTCATAATAAGACAAGAACCAAAGGCACTTAAGCTGACCACATAAACCTCATCCAAGCTGGAGAAAGAATTAGCTGCACCAAAATCAAGCTGAATGCAGTGATGTCTGCAAGTCCACATATCTTTCTCTGTCCCAGGACAAATGTGCAAGGAGGAAGATTTCTATACTGCAAACAGCACAGCATTTGCAAACTGTGCTTGCAGTTTCATACAACTGCCTGGGAAAATGATGCTTCCGAGCAATGTTATTTTAAACATTGACATTTGGGTCTTCTTACCGAGCAGATCCAGTCCTTCCAGCCTGATCGCTGCCTGATGCCAGGGTCCTGAGCAGAGTAAAACTGGTATCTTCTGCGTGCTCAAAGGGTGATAAACCAGCGACTCCTGAGCTGTCTCCTTGATGGGCAGATTTATTCTGTTAATGTTGGATTGATTATGTCAATGTCTGTTCATGGAAGGTATTAATGGACTTAGCTCAAAGGAGCAGAGTTGCGTTGTTACCTGATCAGCTGCTTAGGGCTACTGCTGCATGTACATCACAACTTTTGATTTACAGGACTTTCTCAGAAGCTTTTCTTTAATTTCTATCCCTTGCAAGATGGAAACAAAGCCACAAAGAAAAGCACAAACCAGTAAAAAGTGCATTTTCATATGAAGTTACAGGGGCACACAGCGTGGCTAGAAAACCCACAGCACTGCCATTGCCAGCAGTGTTACTTTATTCTCCTTCCCTACATTTTATCTTTTAAAAGATAAAAAGGTAAAGATAAGGGTTCAGCTCTACAGTCCCACTACGGACAGATCCACAATCTCACCATCACCCCTATGAGGAGAAGTAACTTGGAGCTCACTTGGAACTGAATCACAGGACAAAAAAAAAAAGATCGGTATAACAGCAAAGGTCAAAAAATAAAAGCCCCAAAGGCTGCTTAAGGCATAATTTTCCATTTCTCCCATTTCTTCTTATATCATTGACAGTTGGATGCCTAAATACAAAATCTGGCTGTAAGTAAGCAGGAGCCTTTGGCAGGTTTGCAGAGTAACTCTCAGTCCCTACGCCTGTGCTCCAAGGACAGCATCATCTCGCATCTGTCAGCTTGTAGCAGCAGACCATAAAGGTGGGAAACATTCTTAATACACTGGTCCATAAGGAGCTGATCTTCCTGATGCTTTTAGAGAGGAATTTTTGGAAGGGCTTTACAGGTGGGAGAAGGGAGTAGCTTTTAGAGGTCTCCCTGCTCCCATAGTAGGATGCAGCAGGTTCCAGGGCAGCCTGGCAATGTTGGTCTTGGCTGTGCTTGCCTGCTTGCTGCAAGTAGCAGCCAAAAACATTAAAAACTGAGGAGAACCTTCTGCAGTCCAGCCCCAATGTCAGCCACATGGCATAGTCTTGGCATAGAGCCACATGTTGAGGCAACTACCCCTGTGTCTTCTGCAGCTTAAAAAGCTTGAGGGAAAAAATAAGTACAAATGGGAAAGAAACTCTGAGTTACAAGAACTCCTTCTTTATCATTCCAACAGGAGAATTCCTCTACCTGCAGTGTGAGCTGCCCAATCTCTTCTTCCAGTTCTTTAACCTTCGCCTCTCGTTCAGCCACCATCTGCTTGAGCTGCTCTATAAGGCAGTTTTGTTTCTGAGCCTCGCTGTTCAAGTGCTGCCCTAGCATCTGCTGGGACTCCTTGTTCTTCTCATCCTGTTGGCTCAGGTGCATCAAAATCTCCTGCATTTGCTTCTGCTGGCTCTGAAAAAAAAAAATAGAAACAATGAATGGTATGTTCACTTCTGTAGCCAGGGGTTAAGAATACACAGGTACTCCATACCCTTCAAGACAAACACATATTTATGAATGCTAGGACAATCCTCCGCCCTGTCAAAGCCATTTTTCCTGGTCTAAGCAAACTGATGTCTCTAGTGCTACTCCACACCCTGGTGCTGTTCTGCAGCCTCTGCTCCATCTGATATCAAGTGCAGAAGGTTTTAGCTGGCCATAAAAGCTCTGGCTCACGGTTTGATTCATCAGCCCTGTATATTCCAGGGCTGCCTGTGTCACTATGTCACAAAATGATGCCACGTTTCATCAGTTACAGGAAGTGCTGATCTGCAGGGCCTGGGACCAGGGACAGCAGTCAGACTGTACCAGCAAGGCGTCGATGAGCTCGTCGTCGTGTTTGCCCTTCTCCAGCAGGGTTACGATCTGTCCCTTCAGGGTTTTCACTTCGCTGCACAGCACTTTGTTCCTGGCTTTTGATGCATCAAGTTTCTTTTTCACCTCCTCGTGATCTTTTTGGAGAGCGTCATATTCCCCAGAGAGTTTCTGCAGCAATGCAAACACAGCATAAGAAACGACAGCTACAGCTTGTCACCCAGCCCTATGTGCTCTGGCGAGTTCAAGGGATCACATATTGCCTGGTAGAATCCAAACCAGGGAAATGGCATCCCATATTCCCTTCCTCAGTAGGAACTAGACACACTATTCACCACCTGCTTGCCAGCATCAGAAGAGATCTGTCTGCTTAAGAATAAAAGTGAATTATGTTGATCCAGTACACGGATGGAAGCAAATTCTAATTTTGTGTAAAAAGCTAATTCACTGTGTTCCTGATCTTCCATTCACCTCATAATTCACGTGAATATTCTTCTGATAAACTTTTTCCATGGGGAAACTCTCTTTCTTACAGATACACAGTGGCCATATCCTCACTGCCTACTAGAAACCGTTGTCTCTCAAGCCATGTTTTCGCCCAAATTAAATAGGCCAGGGAATCTGCTAGAGATTTAGTATGGGTAAGTACAGGGAAACTTATCACGAGTGGAGCCTGAAACACAAATTGAGAAGTGAAGCTATGCAGATTTACAGCTATCAAGGAAAATCTCCCTTGTGCTGTGTGCCTGTGGCTATAAATCTTCTCTTTCATTCTCAGTGCCAGGAGTGAAAGGTCTGTATCACCCATTGCTCGCTCTGTTGCATGGTTAAGCTGTGACGAGAAAAGCAGCAGCTAATCAACCTCTGGGCAAGTGCCAAGTGGCCTTTATGGAACTGAATGTAGGAAAGGAGCACAGGAAAATGAGCTTTGCTAACATGAATGTATATAGTTGGCTCAATGCTTTCTGTGGATCCTTTCCAGCTCTGGGGTTACAACGTGCACCACCAGTGACAGCCCCTCTCAAACCCTGAACACCGGACGCCTGTTTGTATTTTGTAACAACCGCACATGACAGATGGAGGATAAGACCCAATGCCTCCTAGAAAGGTTATTTGGGATGAATGCAAAATGTCCAAGTTATTACCACTACATATTCCACGTAGGAGTCTGTTAAGTCACAGGTTTTACCTCCAAGGCTTCTTTCTTCTCTTTTTCCAAGCTGCGGATCTTCAGCAAGTTCTTCTCTTGGACTGACAACCTCCTTGGGTCAGTAAGTGCCACCAGTTCATCATCCATTTCGGTTGCTGACGTTTTGCTTTTGTTTTGACACAGACGACTCTCCAGTTCTCGAACCTAGGGGACAACATGACGACTCAAGACACTGCTCCAGCATTAAAGTACACACAAAGGGAGCTCTGTGTGTAGCATCTTGCCATTTACTTCTTGACATTACCATGGTTAACTAACACAGCGTCTGTTCTTTCACACTAAAATTTGTTAGCTGCTAGCAAACATAAAGGTGCATAGGGCATCCAAGGCACCTGCCCTGGCAGGGGACAGGACACAAGAGCTACTGGAGACCCAGGACACATGGGAGACCCACATGGAAGATCCCATGTGGGAGCTTCCCAGCACAAAGCATCTCCAATGGCACGAGACACACGTGTAGGTAACAGAATTGCACTCTAAGATTATACTCACATTCTCTCCTGCATATTTAAGCGTCTTGATTTTTAGAAGGATCACTAGTCACGACGTCCACAACATCTATGGCACAAGGCATAGTGTGAACTTTAAGTGCTCAGGGCTGTTTTAGACGCCCTGGGATACTGGGGACATCTGACACACATGGCACAGAACCTACAGGGCATCCATGTCCTTCCGAAGCAATAACCAGAGCTCAGTGGGATACACGTCTCGTGCCAGCTGATGTAGTGCAGGGCACACGTGGGGAGCTGAACACAGTCCCTAAATCTGAGCTGTTCACTACAGACTTCTTTTATAGTCAGTGAAGGGAAGTGGGCACTGCTAAAGCAGTTTTCTGCCTTGTTCTGGGGAGTCTTGCAAGCTGACCTTGTTCTGTCACCAGTGACTGTACTGACTTGATTTCCATTGACTGTGGAAAAAGGGAAACTTTGACAGCACAGCAGACTCCAGTACAGTACCTAAAAACTTCAGTGGAACACCAGGCAGGGATCCTAATGGAAGGAAAATGTATTTTCTTCGTGGGAAAGCAGAGGTTAGCAATTTCAATCAATCAGAGTGCAAAAATCACAGTTCATTGAAACACATTTCAACAGCAGAATAACAGGACTCTTACATACCAAACTACTTGAAAGGAGTATTACTGGGCTATGTCTTATAAGCAGGAATAGATGCTAAGAATTATTTAATGAAGAATTAACAGGATGTTTACTGCAAATTGAAGTAAATATATGTACTTAGAGAGAGTAGCCTGGCACCCACCTCACACAGCACCATGCAAGGTCTTAACTCACCTTGCCTTGGAGAACTAGAATTTGCTGGGCTCGTCCACGCCAGCTGCCAGAATTGGTCAGGAGACTCTGAATATTCACATCTTCACCAACTTCATTTGCTAAAAGCTACAAGGAAGGGTTTAACATTAACAACAAAGCTAAAGCACACGTGGGACAATGCAAGAAAACCTCTTTTTAAGAGTAAATAAAAAACCCTGTATCTGTATACATAGCCTTTAACGACTGTAGCTGATATCCAGTAACCCATGCGATGTAAGCTGTTTCAGATCATTATTAGACATTAATAATGGTTGGAAGGGGTGGGCTAACATGAATCGTTTCACTCAATGAAATGGGTATGAAAATATTTCAGTATTTTGAAGTTCAATCACTATTCTGTGTAGCTTTTAAAAGGAATCATAAAAAAAGTTTTAGCTATCGTTTTGGCAAACACAAATCCATAATTTGCTGCCTGCCTTTAGAGAGCATCAAGCTGTACTATCTAGCAATATAGCAAGATGTCAAACCACTACTCATGTAAAAAGAGGGTTTCAAATTCATCACCAATGGTCGCTAAGCATTGGTGACAGTTTTCAATATAGGCCAATATTTTTGGATACCAGGAATACACAGCCAGAACTAAACAGGAAGAGTAGAGATACAAATTAGGGTACTTCCTTGTAATCAGGCACAGAGCCAGCCTCTTGCACACTTGTGAAGCAGACACATTAAGGAGAGCTAAAGTTAGTATGAAGAGCATTTGAATTATTTATAAAAAGGTCAGCAGCAGTTCTATTTTTAGGACCATATTCTCTAATCCGCATTGCAGGTCTCATGCAAAGTGATGAAACTAAAGCAAGCAGAGTGCAGAGGAAAGCATTAAAATCCATCACGAATCGAAGAGGAAAAGGTTACTTGGGATGTCAATCAAGCAAACTGTTTAAATGTGCTTTACTTCAAGAAGGGTCTCAAATCCTATTGACTTCAATGGGACATTTAAAGTAAATACATAATTAAGAGTTTTTGCAAAGAGGAATGGATTGAATGTACTCTTCAAGTCAATGACAGGCCTGTTTTGCTGGACTGTGACTTTTGAACCTTAAAGAATCTGTGTTTTATCACAGCAGTAGAAAGAATGGAAATATCCACTTACGAATGAAGAACATGAATTCTCTATCCTATGTATACATTTTTCAATGCAACCATTAGTCCCATGTCTTCTGTTTCCTCTATAAAAATCCACTAGAACCAAAGGAAAAGAAGCCACCCCTGGCTTTAACGAGAGTTTCTCCTGCACATGATTGTAGCCACAGATTGCATCTTGGAGCAGTACCTTTTGAGTCATCTTCAGTTCTTGTTTTGTGGCTTGGAGCTGATTACGATACTCCATCACTTTAAAATTAGCTGCAGTTAGTTTTTCTTGCAACGCCTTCACCTCTGGACTTTCAGCCTTTGAAGAGAAGGATGGATTTGGTAAGGACAGAATCCCCATTGAAAAACTGAAGTGACTAAGAAAAAGGTGAACATACAGCGATGAGGAAAATTAGGCCTCTAGGATCTGTGGATACAGAATGGAAAGGTGCATGGACATTAAAGGAGATACAGAGACCTCTCAGCAAAGGCAATTTCAGACTGAAATGCAGCTCCTCAAAACACAGAAGATCGGATTTAACTCTTGCTCTTCGGACTAAGTGTAATACTTTCACAGCAGAGCCCTGGATCCTGGTAGATTGGTCATGCTCCCTGCACAGCAGTGGACACGAATGATCCTCTCCACTTCCAAAGAAACCCCAAACGCTTTGACAAACGCTCAGGAGTTAAAGACAGAGGAATCTGGTGGCCTGCTCTGCATTCCCAAGGCAGCAGATGGCAGAGCTGGGAACAGGATCTAGAACTGTCTGAACTGCAGCCTCTGATCTTGAACTTAGCTTCTAAATCAGCCAGGCTTTCACAGTCACTGTTACCACTTAGTGATGGAAAGCACAGATTCACCAGGATCCCTGAATCTTTTTTAAGATTCATGCAAATGTATTCCCTATTTCTGGAGGTACGATGGAATTAGAGCCATTTGGTTACAAAACTTATGACAGTGATTCATCCTTTTAACGAAGAAAGAGATTGCACAAGAACAGACAGTCAGCATCACTGTCATTCTTTCTTCTATATGATTACAATTCATACCAAGTTTTCTTCTATCATCTTCAGAGTAGACTGTTTGATTCCTGAGTCACCACCACCAAGAGAATGGATTTTTCCCATGGCTGCCTGTAGCTGGAAAAAAAAAATGCACTGTAGGTAAAATATGCATAAAGAAACATCTCAAATGAAGGTTAATTAGCAAAAAAAAAAAGCATAACAGCAATTTGGATGTGGATGTTTATTAACACTAGCAGAAAAAAAGATTTCATTTCCCCTTGTTTTTCAATTTCTTCTATATGATTACAATTCATACCAAGTTTTCTTCTATCATCTTCAGAGTAGACTGTTTGATTCCTGAGTCACCACCACCAAGAGAATGGATTTTTCCCATGGCTGCCTGTAGCTGGAAAAAAAAAAGCACTGTAGGTAAAGTATTGCATAAAGAAACATCTCAAATGAAGGTTAATTAGCAAAAAAAAAAAGCATAACAGCAATTTGGATGTGGATGTTTATTAACACTAGCAGAAAAAAAGATTTCATTTCCCCTTGTTTTTCAAATGCAGTCAGAGGAAGCTGTTTCATTTTTTTCCAGAGATTTATCCCAAGAAAGGTTATGTTTTTTTGCTGTAGAAGAACTTCAGTGGAAATGTTTGTGATTTGCTGAGATGGTATTGGTTATAGTTATGAAGCCTGGATACTTCTGGGGGATTTTCTCATCTGAGATTCATAAAATAGGTATTTATACTTATAAATATAGATCATGCACAGGAGAGATCGGCACATGCGATCTAGATGCTGGATGACGGTTTATTCACTTTACAATAAAAATCACAGGCAAATAACTATCCACAAAAGACATTTAAATGACTATCTAATGTCCTGTAGCTGGGATTTAGTAAACAATATTAAGGTTCTGTTTCTTAGCTGGGATAAATCTAAAGTAACATTTATGAACCTGCAAGTCCTATGTCATATCTGACAGCCTCATGTGGACATTTGGGAGGTGAACTGATATCTCTAATAGCACCTATATATGGGCAACCAAATTGCACTTCAGCAGTCTTTAATTTTTTCTACAATCAGTGGAGAAAGATGGGTCCCTCTAGATCCAATGGAGAGTAAGGTGGTTGCTTGACAGAGGTGAATCTGTGATAGCAGGGGCTTCACATGATGTTTCATCTCTATCTCAGGTTACTTCATTTGTTTTTGATTTTGATGGTGTTAGTGTCCAGGAAACACTGGGACAATCCTAGTATTTATATCTCTGCTTTGATCAACAACAACTGTCAGTTGCTTTGAGCATGACTTACTTCCCTGGAATGGCTATGCCCACTTTTTTTTCCTGCCAATATCTGGCATTATTTTAAGTTTCTGTTTGAACTGGTCATTACGTTTCTGCCGCAGAGGATTGTTACCAAGTTGATTTTTCTTGAAATTATTCATAGATAGCTGCCCTATTTGTGTGACTTCAGCATGTCCTCAGCTACATGAGACACTCCTTCGTCAGCCTGTCAGCTGTTCAACAGGGTCTCTTTGATGAGAACACTCTGGATTTATGCAGTTCTCAAACATTTCATCTACTACTACCTTATCTTTCGGGTAACCAGGGTACAATCCTGATCGATCCATGATTCACGAAAATAAGTGACTGTAAAAGACTGAGTCAAAATGCATTTGTCAGCATCATAAAATCTATTGATATATTGAAATGAGCTCTTCTAAGTGGGCAAAGTGCAGAAAAAAAAATATTAAAGTGATACAAAAGTTCACCAGAGTTGTGTAAGGATGAGCAGTCCTAGCCAATGGCCAAATTATACACTCATATCAGGGTGTCGAGTTTGCATTTCAGCAGTTATCTGAATAAAATCAATCCTGCCAAAGCACATATTAAAAAAAAAAAAACCCTACTAAAGCATGAAAATTAATCTGCCTCAGTGCAATTTTGCCATCTTAAGTGGCATAGTTTGTTACTGTTGTGGTTCCATCAGTATTCATGCCAAAAAAGATCAGATTTTATTAAGTGGAGGAATAAAACTCAGAACAATTCATGATGAGGACTAGTAAGGTGGGAGTATAAGGCATCATGGTATGAAATTTGTCCTGCTCATTAAAAAAAATCTGAAAATATCATTGCCATACTGAAAAGTCTCTGTGATTCATATGCAAGGGAAAAAACTTGGATTCCATAAATCTTTGGCTCATTATAATTTACTGATCGCTTTCCTTAGTTCCTCCTTTCAAGCTGGAACACCTAAGGATGCGCATCCCTCCCTCCTAGCACAGACAGGAATGACAAAACCTCAGAGCAAACATGGATGCAGAAGCAAATTCAGACTGGAACAACCGTCGAACCCACAGTTTCTCAAACTTCTCTACCCCAAAAGCTGGATTTCTATATTCTAACACAGTAGAAGAGAACAACAAAAAAGGTCTCACTTCTCGCTCCAGCTCTTTGACTCTGTTATTCAGTTGCTTCACTTTGGCCTTTTCACTCTCAGTCTCAGCCGTTATCTCCCGATTCTTTTTGGCCAATTCAACTATTTTAGTGGCTGCAATATCCCCAGCTATACCAGATGTCCCTGAAAAGTAAATAAAAAAGCAAAGGATAGATTTTACAGGCTCTGTAATGTCTTCTTATTCAGAGAAGATGATGTTCTGTTCTTCTGGCCAGTGCACAGCACACTTCTGTTGTCTTAATTCATTAGTCCCAGAGCTGTGCCAAGCACTTACATGAAAAGCTAAGGGAAAAGAGGCATCGGTGATTCCAGTTGGATTCCAGCTTGGTGCACTGACTCAGCACTGCAGCTGGGAAAGCCCAATTTCACCCTTTAGCATGTCAGAAGGCCATGAGATCTGCAGTAGCAACATTACTATGCAGAAAGGCAGAAGTGTTTTCTGCCTATCACTGCAAAGGACTGTTAGGAATAGGTTTTTGTGGCACATTAGTGAAAAATGTGCTATTTTGTGCTGGTTCCTTATTGCTGGAGGAGCCACTGAAGAGAAACTTTTCTAGATCTCCGTCCTAAAAGTTAGACATTATTTTAGTTAGGTTGATGATGAAGTTTGGGAAATTTCATTGTGCCTATTTATACGTTCTTTACAATTACACAAGGAGTCTTCCTGCACTACTGTGCTCTTTTAAACAGACTCTCATTCAACTCCTCATCAGAGAGGGTTTCAATAGTGTCATAGGTAAAGTGGGACTTATTGTCTGCCCCTTGGCTTTTTTCACATCACACTGTGAAAAAAACATTCTTATGTAAGTGTACAATCAATGTAACTGCACAAAACATCCAAGGACACCTCTAGTTCTCAAGGAATACCAGCTTGCAACAAGAGAACTTGGAAGTAGACACGAGGATGGAACTAGGCTGTTGCTCTTTAACCCTTTCACTCTCCTTCAGTTCTCCCAGGTAATGACTACTAAGGACAACAGTAAGTACTAAACAAAAACAGGCTGGTGCTTCCATGTGAAGGTCTTGCACACATTTAATTAAAGCTTCTAATTCCCCGAAGAGTGGGTGAGGTTTTGCCACAGTGCAGATAAGGAACAGAGGCAGGGAGCAAACTGCCACAAGCCAGAAACCAAGTCAGGTAAATAAGCTAAAACAGCACTTCTGTCTCCTTGTCCTGGATCCAGAAACAATCCGTCATCTCTCCCAAATGCAAACTAGAGCTAATGATACAGAATGAAGGTGTAATGTATGCATTATTTAGTTATGCTTGTGGGTATTGCTCCCCCTTCTCTGCTAGCCCAGCCATCAGTGCTGTCCTGAACAACAGTGGCACCCAGTGGAAGAGGCTCAGGCTGCACTGCTCCCTTTTCAGAGGACGTGCCAGGCACTTTAAAAGCTGGACACGGACTTTGTTTTCAGCCAGCTCCTGCATGTGCCCTATTCAGGCATTCCAACAAAAGGGGCCTGAAAAGGCAGAGTGGAGTAGGCTGCAATGCTGCCCATCAGCACTAATCGAGTTTTCTCAAAAGTGACTTCCATGACAGTAATTTTGTGACAGTAACTGTAAGTTCAGAAAAGATCTGTGAGGCACACAGACCACTGTGAACCCCAAAGGAGCACAATGTTTCTTTTAGCGGACCTGCAATTATCAGTAACAACATTTTGAGCCTTAGGTCATCTCCTATTCAACAATTTCAGACATGCTTTAGTCCTCCCAATACTCCCCATCATAGAAAGGGGAGTTATCTGGATTTTGCAGCTCATAAAACTGAGTGTAAGATATAGATCTTTAAGCACATGTGCCATTCGACATGTAAAGGCCATCACGTCAAATCAAATCACAGTGAGGAACTTCCCACTGCCAATAAAGCAACAAGATTCCTGCAAAAAGGAAACAGGAATCTTCAGAGAACTGTCAATGCCAAACAGGGCAGCTTAGGGTCCTGCAAGTTTAGGTAGCAACTCTGAGTGTCGACTAAGTGAATACTTGGATGTCTGAGTATTTTCAAAGTTCAGATCCAAGTGATTTCAGTAGTATGAAAAATCAGGATGAGCTCAACAATGAGTCTCAGAGGACAATTCTTTCTCAGGCCAGAGATGAATTTGCTTCCTCCTATCAGTAGCTAATTCAGGAAGGGAGAATGGAAGCAACAACAACACGACTGAAATATTTTTTAGTATAATGAGTACTCCAGTCATGTTGTCTTTTTTTTTTTATGAAGCAGGTAAGGACCAGTCACATCAGTATTTCATTGCAGAAGTTTTGCACTATGAGTCCGTTGTCCTAGCTCTATTGTCACCAGCATTAAGCAAACACTGGAAATAACATAATGTGAATACAGTTATTGTGTTTACCCGACAGAGCCAGTTTGTCCTCCTGGATTTTTTTCTGGAGTTGCTTTATTTCAAAATCTTTCTCTCTCACCAACTTGTACAGTCTCCCATTCTCATCTCTGACTTCTCGAAGCTGATCCTGGAGTTGCTCGTTCTCAGCCTCAAGCAACCTGATAAAAGACAAGACATAAAGGCTAATATCATCGTCAGCTTCTTTCTTCGGAAATTCTGCACTTCCTTGTGTTGTTGGGGGGAAACATCACAGAACAAGTATCTTTTCAGGGCTCCTGAGGTTACTGAACAGCCTCATCTCAGTCACTCTTACTGGTTTGGTTCTACAGGGGAAACCAGGCAGGCTCAGCTTTAGCATTTGACATTCACACTTTACTTTCTACACTTACCAAAGCCAGTACAAGCTCCCATTCCTTTTCCAAATATAGCCTTAAACTCCTTGAATGGAATCCTCACTATAAACTACAAAAGCTACTACTGAGATTTTCTCTTTGAAAAATGAATGCTTCATGGCAATTCACGAAAGACCAATTTCTTGCGTCCTCGTGTGATTTTCTTGGATTCCCACCAGGATGGGCTGACGTCAATTTGTATTGTTAATGTTACTTTTTGGAAATCATTTAGAAACAATGAACAGCAGAAAGCCCTCTGAAAGGGAGGAAACGGCCTTGCTTCTGTTCTTCAGTACATTTAGTAACATTTAAGGTTTTCATCTCTCTAAGGCATCCAGATAATGAGAAACTTTAACCTCTTTGCTGCCCTTACAGCAAAAGGGACAACTCCTCCAAACATAAAATCCAGGATTAAAGGCCTGAGGGGCTCGATTCAGTTGCTGACACACAAATTTCTACTTAGGATGGCCCAGGGTATCTGAGCTGCCTATATGCAGGATCCTTGGGAAAACTTCTGGGACCCAGGTAAGGAGCCCAGAGCCTCTTGGACACCACTAGCCACCCAATTTGTGGGCAAGTGGATTGAGCCTGAGAATTACTGACATGATCTAATTTTGAACATACCATTTAGCCAATTTCATACTGTGAAAGCAAGATTTTTTGCTCCAAGTGGACTTTAGCTTTTCAAGACACACGCTGTAAACGCATTTCAGAATAAATGACAGTGCTAGAAAAAAAACAGCTAGCAAACTCGATGTACAAGACACTTCACAATCCATAATTAAGCAGTGCATTTCTGTTTCAAAGCCACAAATCAAAGGGAGATCAAAGGCAGCTTTTTGCAAAGATGACGACCACAGAAAGCAGCAATCTGGGCAGAGAAAAGACAAAATTAAGTTACTCCCCCATGTACCACTCATGGAAGCAGGCAACAACACTGTGCAGATTTAATTAGGGCACAATCATGAGCATTAAATCATTTTTGATAGTTATGGAATTAAAAAGAATAAAAGTTCTGTGTTCTTAGCACATCTGATCAACGATGTCTACTTCAGAGCTGGCTTCCAGAACTTGATGAAAGTTACTGTTATTGGGATGGATGGAAATCCAGCTGCACACAGCTGGAGTCTCCTCTCCATCACACCATGTCATGCTACTTTACATGTTACAAAGGCAGAAAGTGGCCCAGCTCTGGAAACCCAACCAAAAGGAACAGGCAGTAGAAAGCTAACCTTTTTTCACTCTTGTTCAAGAAATTAAAGCCAGGCAAAGCCTGTGAGCGAGGCCAGTGATTGAAATTCAGGCAAGTACCTTTCTCAGCTCTGTGTGTCCACGTGATGGGGAGAATCATTTAATCTTGAAGTGCACCAAACAACCAGAGAAGGTAAGAGTTACAGAAAGAACAAAATTGAGGACAGAAAGGTCAGCTAACCACTTCCCTAAACAAAATTTCTGAGGATGATGGAAGGAAGAAAGGAAGGAAGGAAGGAACAACGAATTCCCAAAGCTCAGAAGAAGGAGACTTCTGAGATGGGAAATGTTTTTAAAGTGCTTTTATAAACAAACATGACATGCAAAAATCACTGTCACTGCAAAACAAATGGAGCCCTGTTATTCTGGAACAAACTCTAATTTGCAGTCATGGGAACACTGTAAAACAGTATCAGTACATGACAGTGAACCCCTTCCAGAAGCAGCTTGGTCTGCCTGGATGAGAGACTCATACCACTCTTTTGCTGAACGCAGGTATTTCACAAGGAAGCAAAGGATGTCAGAGGCAGAGGACGATCCAGATGAATCAGCACTCTCTTACTCCTACCATAAATCCCACTGAAAATGAAGTAAGAGCACCCTGAATTAATCACACCTTCAAGCTGAGCAGGGAGTAGCCTCTCCTAACACAGCCCCTCCTTCCTGCTCCTGTACCACGGTTTATCACCCCATCGTGGTGACAAGGAAACAGTCTGTGGGGGTAAAGCTATAAACTGGATCACTGGAGTGACTTGGGCTACAAATCTCCTTGCCTCAGAAAGTGCATCCAGGTTCCAGCACGGCCCCACAACAGCTCTTAGCACCACTGCCAAGGGGGAGACCAGGAAGCAGCAGCAGGAGTTTCTCAAGCTGGTTTCATTCCTGAAAAGCAGTAAAACTTGCCCAACACTGCAGACGCTCTTGGGATGCCTCCAACCTCAGACCTGTTCCAGTTTGTATTTATACTTATTAATTGGGTCAGAGGGACTGGCGAGGTCCTAGGAGGGAGATGAAAGAGCTGAGGCCCGAGTTCAACTTCATGGAGCAGAAATTTGAATTATGCACAGAGCTCCAAAAGCAAGATTGAGAGAGACCCGCTCCAGATATATCCAGTGTCCTCACAGTTAAGGTACTGCTCGCAATGGAAGGGATCCAAACCCCTGTCCTCAGAGAAATTTAAACCCTTACCTTGTATAACCCCGTTAAATGCCTTCACTGCCAGGCAACTCTATCCACCAGACCCTTCTGTGGAGTCTTTTGACCTGATAACTCAGGTCAGGCTGCCTGACAGGGCACAGGAACACTTCTGCTGGCACCCTTAGCCATGTGATGCTTTGAGCAGATCTTTCAATGGAAACTTGTCAGGAAACTTGGCAGGAAAACGTGTACAAATCCAGGCACTCACCACCAGTTCAGCAGATATCAGCAATTCTGGGTGACAGGGCTTGTTCAGATAGTACCTGGCTGCCCAGGGCACATCTCCCTCAGAGCCCCTGTCTTTCAGTTCCCCATAAAGGTAAAAAACACATGGCAGTGGGTAAATATATTAAGACAGTGAGATTTTCCTTATGGCAACAGAAGCCCAGTACACGGCTGCAGACACCAAGTGCCCTATGGACTCAATGTGAATTTCCTAGGATCAGATGCAGAACATGTTTTTTTGACTTCCTAAAGGAAGTCAAAGCAGTGCTGCTACATCTTTACCTTTTGTTGACATCATCATTTTCAGGATGCCCGATTTCAAGCAGATTTAGGTTATCCTGGCTGCCGAAAGCCCCTGCTGTGTCACCATTACTGCCCTTCTGGCCATTCTGCTTCTCCTTCTTCCTCACCATCAGATTTCGCAGCCTCCTTTGCTGGTGCTCCTGGAGGGCCTTAAACTGGCTTTGAAAACGCTCGTTCACGCCGACATCCGAGGCCATGGCTTGCTGGGAGCGTAAGGAGAAGGGAAGAGGAAGCAGCAGGGATGCACCTCGCTTTCCAGGTGTCCTTTTCCAGCAGCAGCTCAGTAGCGTTTCCTCATGGCCTGCTGGGTCTCTTCCAGCTGCCGCTGTCCATCGAGGGCCTCCAAACGTGTGGGCTTCAGACTCTCCAAAAGTGATGTTTTATTTTTTTTTAAAGAATCTGATTAAGACAAACATCTTTAGAGAGGAGCAAGTCAGCGGGTCCCTGATTCATGTGCAAACAACAGGGCTCCCACTAAAAGCTCCACAGGCCACAGAGGACCCAAGCCCATCCGGCTTTCCCCAAGCCTCAAAGAGCAGTGCAACCCCCTCCTTTTACCCTAACGCGGCCCAAACACAGAACCATCTCCCGTTACTTGAACGCTCGGCCCATTCGGCGCCAGCGCTGCCGTTTAACGTCTTTTTTCACAACGTTTTAACGCTGCTCCCACCAACATGGGCCCTACCGCAACGGCCGCCCGCGTGGTTCCCATAGCAAACAGGCCCGGGGGC